CCTAGTAATGGGTGGGAACGGCCTAAGCAGGCCGGGTGGGAATTTGGGGTTTAGGGTTTAGGGTTTAGGGTTTAGGATTTAGGATTTAGGGTTTAGGGTTTAGGATTTAGGGTTTAGGGTGGCACTTAGGACCCCTACTAAGGGTTAACCCTTAGGTACCTATAACAGGAGCATAAGGGAATCCCAAAGGGTTAAGGGTCTAAGGTCCAAGCTAAGTCCCAAGGAGTTACTTACTGGTGGCTACTAGGGAATAAGGGTTTAGGGTTTGGATTTAGGGGTTAATACGGAATGAGGGAATGTAGTCCCTATGCACTTCCTATGTAATCCCTATATGGTGTATTCCCTCGTTCCCTACTACCCACCAGTAAGGTTAGGGTTGGAAGCTATTTTGTCTAGTTGTGTCCTTATCTAGCGTTTAGGGTTTAAGGCTTTGTTTTAGCCAAGGGTTGCAGGGTTGGGGGATTTCTTGCTTTGAGGCCTGGAGGCTTACGGTTGCAGACCTTTATGCCGTGCAACCCATAGGATCTAGAATCTAGACGGTGATATGGATCATGGGCGTATGCCCTAAACCCTAGAAAAGCTAACAAAAACACAAACCCTAAATCCTGACCCCTACGCCCTACACCGTGGTATCATACAAATGCTTCTCAGCGAGAGGGTGCTTAGGAGAGACGGGAGGAGTGGATCCGTACAGTAGCTGACAGCAGCACAGAAAATGAGGCAGTCTCCAGATATTTCTCATTAATATTCCTTAAACCCTCAACCCGAAAGACGAGGTAGTAATTTTAATCATCTTTTCCGTGCGGAAACTCCCAAGCCCTGAAATGGCAGCTTCCACCTCATTCTCTGTAGCTTCGCTCCCCAAGTCCGCACTTACAATCAGGAAGCAAATCCTCGAATGCTAGAAGCCTGCACTTGCAATCCAGCTTGGAGGGGGTGAAATACCCAAACGTCGGCATTTTGAAGGGAGTTTTGGACAGTTTCCCAAAGCGGTGCGGACAAGTAGGATTTGACCACCTACTCTTGCAGAACTGTGCCCCTCAAGGGTAGTAAGTTCTGCGGTGCGACTGCCCCGAAGGCAGAAGCCGCACGCGTACTCAAGGACAAGCTATGGCCCTAGTGACACTTACTGTTAGCTAATCACTGTTCAGGTTAGGCCCTTGCAGCCCCTGCATAAAATCGATGCCAGCAATCGCCCTTTAATGAGCACTTGCAGTCGAGTTGCCGTGGCTTGCGACACCAGCACCGAAATCAAGACCTAGGGTTCAAGGTTCTCGCAGATGTAGCAGACATGCAAATTCCGAACGCCAAACGCACAAATCTCTGCAACAGAATACATTTCAGGGCAACGGCTGCGGGCTGCCAGTTCCTATTTCTGCAGCTCTTTCCATGCAGGAAACACAAGGTGATGGGCACAGGCAGAACAGTGTGGACCCAAAACAAGGTCTAGAAGCCTTCATGGCGGATGGGTATTTCCAACTAAAATGCCTTACAATCATTGTGGGGACTCACTACAAACGCACAACATGGCACTTCTACTGAGCTTCCACTTGCTAACCACCACCAGGGGTCCCGCTTCAGGACACTACGCAGAATCGATTCAGAAAATCTTGTGTGAAAGCACTGGTTCTTGCTGTCATCCCTCTGTAGATCCCGTTCAACCCTATGGCAACCTCCCTGAACAAAAGACCCTGAACCCAAGCTGACAACAAAAAAGCCCTGGCATCTGGCGCCAAGTTACCGCCGAGAGCGCCGCCATTGGCCCCATCCTCGACGGCGCAACCATGGAACCTTGCCGTGGTTGCTTGAGAAAGCCATGAAGGGACTCCAGATAACTTACTGGTTCTTAGTAGGGATAAGGAAATGTAACCCACAAAATCCCTCTATGATATGTTCCCACATTCCCCACTAAGAACCACTAAGATAAGGGTGCGTCACAGAAAAAGGCCCCAGAAGGCCTCAGGGAACTCAGCTAATGCAGAAGCCTGGATACTTACCAACCTCATCTCATCTTGAGGTCTGTTAGACATACCCCTTACCCTCCAAACCCCAAACCCCAAACACTAAACCCCATACTACATTTTAACTAGGATTTGTACAAGGAACCCTGTCACCCCAAAAGCCACAACGCCACTTTCCACGACTTCACAAAACAACGGAGCTTCTTGCCAGGCCGTGCCCTAAGTTTCCTTCTCCTTCTTAAAGATGTGAGAATGATGAAGCCTTGGGTACATATCCCTTTTGAAGACCTCTTGCATGAGTTGCTCAAGGAATGCCCTTAACCCTGAACACTAAACCCTAAACCCTATACCCTAAGCCCTCAACCCTGAACCCTGAACACTAAACCCTAAATTTTGGTTCGAAAGCTTCTGTGCCGCCGGGCTGCTCACTCTGCAAAGGAAAGACGCCGGCATGAGAGCATGGCGTGTCGTGCCAAGTCCCACACCGATTTCTTTCGAGCCGGCAGGTCATATCCAGAAATTGCAGCTCTGATGCAAATGCTAAGTTCCTGTATTAACCGTGACCCTAAACACTAAACCCTAAACCACTTTTTTAAAAATATCATAAGCATGTTTAGGAACCCCTCCCCTACCCCCACGTCACGGCACCTTATGTGATTTGGGGCTTTGGGGCCAACCCTCAAAACAAGGCTACTATAAAACCATGCAGTAATTAAGGGAATATAAGGGCGTGGTATGAGATCATGGAACAGACAATGCAAACTACTATTTAGGGTTGAGCGTCTAGGGTAAGTACGACTCTTATCGGATCCATATGAGAGGGTCGGGGTTAAACGCAGTGTTTATGCCACAGCAAGATGCGTCCATGACCTTCACGGAGATCTCTTACAAGTAGGAAAGACGAGAAACCATTATGTCGGGGAACCCCTCCCTACCCACCGCACATCACCCAAGCCTATAGCAAGTGGTGTTCTGGTCCTTGAGGTAGATATAGCCTAAGTCCTCAACGGCCTTGTCCATACCCCAGGGAACCCCGACCCATAGAAGCCTAGATCCTAAGGTCCCACGCCCCGCACCCACCAACATTGGAAACAAACATGGAAAATGAAATGGAAACTGCGGTTATACAGGGGCGATATAAGGGCCTGAGTATACAATTATACCTACATTGAGCCCTACAGTCTGTAATTGGTACCTACAATTGGGCGATTTGGAAATCCTAAGCCCTAAGCCCTAAACACTATTAAAGCCTTATTACCTACAGTGGGCTTTATTAGCAATGGTCTCAAGTCCTACTATCCCCCTCAATAGCCCTTATAGCAGTAACCCGCTACATAACACCTCGTTACGGAGTTTAGACTATGGCTTATATGGATTCTGTTTCTACGGTCCTTGCGGGGGATATGCCCTAAATCCTAAACCCCAGATGGATTCCTACGGTCCTTGAGGTAGATATGGTATTGCCCGGGCGTATACTCCGCCCTCATGTTGCCGCTGGGCCAGCGGTCGGCAAAGTCCTTGCCTAGGATCAGAGGCGGTTTAGGGCGTAGGGTCTAGTTCAACGTTGTTTGGGGGGGTCCATGAACGAGGCCCCTGTCCTGTTTTATGCAACATATCCGAAGAAACTTGCTTATAAGGCCTGGCGGGGTGGGGTTTAATACCCCTGGATGAAGAAATGCCGGGGATATAACTTAAACACATCCCTAAACCCTAAACCCTAATCCCCTGGAGCTTAAAACAAAAAGGCTGGGTCTTGCCCCCACCCATGAGCATTCTATGAGTGGGTCATATTATAGGCTCTAGAAAGGAGCCATAGTCTGAACTCCTGCGTCCCCCTTAGTAACCCCTATAATAGTCCCCTACATATTCCCCTATATACACCCTTTAAAGGAGTTTAGACTATAGCTCGCTCATATGAGTCTATTACGATGATTATCCCAGAAGAAAATTCACGCCATGCCAGACAGCCTGGTATGAAGCTGAAGCCCCGTCTCCACACGATCGAAACCGCTTAGAGTCCCCCCCTTAAGTAGATAGAATATGGGGTATATGGGGATCTTATTATAATCTACCCAGAGCCATATTCTATCCACTCATGGGGGACTATAAAGCCTAAGCCTTTCAGCGTTTCTCACACTGGGGTGCCCGTAGGATCTGGGCTACAAAGCGATTCTGGGAGCCCTGGTTTAGGTTTAGGGTCTTAGCGTCAGGACGGTATGAGGAAGCCTAAAGGTTCCAACAACACAACAGATGATGTACTTAGCCAAAACCTGCACTATAAGGTATAGTACCCAAATCCCAAACACCTAGTTTTTGGTGTACATGGGCCCTTAAGGAAGTTTTAGAGCAGCATCCAAAAACGTGGATCTCTCCGAGCCCTGGAAGCCTAAAGATGTGGGGCTGAGGGTTTAAGGTTTAGGGCTTAGGCTTGGTTAGACACTGGATCCATTTTTTGTGATCCCGATTACTACTTGATGGTAACTTGGGACCCCTAATTTGAGAACCCATGCATCAAGAACCACAACGCCGCCAACTGCCCAAAAGACAAACAAGTTTGGAACGTGGATCCAATGCAGCCTATCAGGTTTAGAACTTCCCTGTGACTCTGGAAGAAAGGCTTAATGCAAGGACCACAGCAATGAGAATAATGGAGATATACATACAAGCCAAATGGACAGGATCTGGAATCTGGATAAATTACGTAAACCGAGAAATCCTATACACCCTACAAACCCTATGAACCCTATATAGTCCCCCTTAAGTAGATAAAAATCTGGCTTTAAGTATCTGAAAATAAGATCCCCATATACCCCATATTCTACCTACTTCAGGGGGACTATACACCCTAAGCCACGTAAATTTAGGAAGCTTTAAGCTCCTCTAGGGCCTGACAAAAAGAAGACCCCATCCCTTTGAGGCTGCAGCATTCGAACTCGCCTTGGCGCATATCTTGAAAAAGAGGGGAGTTGTTTTGGGGTTTAGGGTTTAGGGTAAGTACCACCTCCCCTGAAGGAACCCTTCCCACTTCCTCCAGAACCACGAATAGCTCTCACTAGGGAGTATAGGGGCATCCCTGTAGGAGGGGGGGGGTCCTGCAGAGGAGGTTTGGTAATTATTCCATGACTCGCAAAAATTTGGGGATTGCTCTTTGCAACTCCAAGCAGGGAACCCCCTAAACCCAATACTTCATAAACCCTCAACCATAAACCCCTAAACCCCTAAACCCTAAACCCCAAACCCTACACCCCTAAGCCTAAACCCCTAAAACCTGCAACCTCTAAACCCCAAACCCTAAACCCTAAGCCCCTAAGATTTCCGCGGTCTTGGGAGCGGCTTGAAGCTTGCACGAGGGAAAAGGTAGCAGCTTTCCTTTGGGTTCACGGAAAGCCCAATATCCCTCAGTAAGGGCGCATACCCCCAAATGATACTAGGATCCCTACAGTAACTTGAACCTTGAACCCTTAAACCCCAAAACCCTAAACCCTCAGGTTCCCTAACTTAATTTCAACATATTACCTCATTCGGTGAAATTGGGCTTTCTGGATTCCGGTTACTTGGAGTAAAAGAGCCAGGGTCTCCCTTCCTGCCGAATACCTACATAAGCTATAGGCTGATCTCCTGAAACGGGTTATACAATGGATTGTATAGGGCTTACTAAGGGGGATACTTGGAATTTAAACCTGATGTTCCTGTCTCTTTAATGTGGAAAGATTTTCTGGAAGTCACCTTCGAATCTTGTGGCAAAATCAGGGCTTTGAATATTGAGGATTACCCTGAGGAGTATGTCTACATAGAAATATATAATTACATATGAATACACACACATATACATATATATATATATATGTGTCAGAAAGTAGCTTTTGATGCTAGAGGGCGCCCCTTCTATTTCAACCATCTCTGAGATGCCAAGCTTGACCATTCAAACCACCACCGTGGCACGCAATGCTGCTGCCCTTGCCTACGCAGGGTTTAGGGTTTTTAGGATCTATATAAGGCTTATAGGGCTTAGGGACCCCAAACCCTGATCCACATACGCTGCTGCCGAGGGGCTAATTGCGTCCTTGTCAAAGTTCTTGGTGCAGTCGTCCACGACAAATGGAACGCCTTGGAGCTACAGAGTCGTTTCAGGCTGGGCCCTAGTAGAACCAGAAATGATCATTTATTACTGAGTTGACTACATGGCACTTAGGACCCCTACTAAAAGTTAAGTTTCAGGTATATACCTATAATCGGAAATATAAGGAATTGTTAAAGGTCTAAGGGTCTAAGGTCCAAGCTTAGTGCCGAGAAGTTGAATACGGCTACGAAGAATCTCTTGTTGTCCTTCTGTAGCTCATACCCTGCGGGCCCAAGTACCAAGTTCATCATATACTTTCCATAAACCTATACCATTAATTACCCAACTCCAGGATACTCAACGATTGGGTGCTCGCACCCTCAGGGATACTAAACTTTCTTCTGGTAAGATTTTCACACTGCAGCGCTGCAATGGCTCGTGCTCTTTCGACGTTACGCAGGACTCTAAACCGTAGGGCTCAAGGTTTCCCAACTCCTTACACGGAGGGGCCTCAGGGGTATAAGACTTTGTCAAAACTACCGCCCCTACATTCAGATTTATGTGAGCCATTGTCTAAACTCCTAGTATCCTCTTTAATAACCCCTATAAGAGTCCCCTATAAAATCCCCCATATAACCCCCCCCTTAAGGAGTTTAGACTATAGCTCATGTGACGTTTATAAGCAGCTGCGAAGCTGAGGGCTTTCACGGCCTAACCTTAATGAAGGCCACTCGTCACAAGTCTCTAAGAGGACCCAGGTGAATGAAAGC